GTGCGTGCGTGCGTGCGTGCGTGCGTGCGGTTGAGGCCTAGCTGAGCTGCACGATCAAGGTTTAGAGTCTCGCTCTTCAAGTCACTGGCAGGCGCCTGGTCAAGCGAAGCGGTTGGGCGTTTCGGCAGAAGATGCAGCATGCACAGACCGTGCCTTCATGATCCGGTCGATCCGACCGAGGCACCCGCGCGACGCCGCCAGAAATTTCCGCGAGCCAAGGCGGCAGAGGGGCGTGACGGCAAAAAGGGTCCCGTTGGGTGGTGACTTTATGACAGACGCGTCAAGCGAGATCTGTCTCTGGTCGCTCTCGCCGCTTCCACCGAGACACGCTCAGGGCGCGTGCACCACTAACTTTCTGTATTCGCAGCAAAGTTAGCCGCGAGGCAAGCAAGCGAAGACCCCTGAGCGAGCGCCCTTGCAAACGTCCGTCGGGCCCTGCCGATACGGCCTCGCCCCGACCAGCACGAGCTCGGCTAGGCGCTGGTCTTGCCCTGCCCTGCCCGGCCCTGCATCCGACGGCAGCAGCAGCAGAAGCGCGTCTGCAGCCTCGACCATTCTTTCGAAGCACTCTCGCCATCCGGACGCCTGCCGACCAATTTCAAACGCGTTGGCTAAAGGGCGGCGGCGCTTCCCGGAAGCCTTTGCTCGGCGACTGTCATGAGTCGAGGGGCCAAGCGACCTGCATTGAGGCACTGCATGCTTACGATCGGTCCCGGCTCGCCCTCCATGCTAGTCTAATCGGCTCCTCTGGACATCTTAGACCAAAGCCCGCCATAAGTTGGCGCAACCAAGGTGGGCTTGCGCTAGCATATTGTCCGCTTCGTCAAGCAGCTCATTTGGATGAGACCTCTGTACTACGCCCTGCGATCGTGGCGAACGACATCGCTATCGGAAGCTTGGATCGGAACGAAAGAAGCCCACTCCAGCTTCTCCATTCGCCGGCCTCGCTCACGATCGCTTCTCATTAGCAAATTCGATATTGGGCGTAGCATTTTTTTCCCTGCTGCACGGCCGCTGCAGACACCGTCTGCACAAACATGCACGTCGTCGGAGCCAAGCTGGCTAAACTTCCCTTGTCACCGTGCATCTCATGCAATCGCTCCTTCCTTCGCGACATGAGGTGCAAGGCAAAGCGGGCCAAGTCCCCAAATGGACTGCTGCCGGCTGCGTATTGCACACCCAGTATTTGATCCACCCCCGCCGTCCGCAAGGTCGAGTCTGCGAATTGACCGATTGGCGGCGCGCGAGATCATGCAGATGCGCATCGCGATCTCTACACCCAGTCGCGTCTCGTTCCACAGAAGCATCCTCACGGCAACGCCTGCTCACGCAGCCGCTCAACCGCTCGCCCTCCTTCTGCCGGCCCGATGGATGCCGAGCCGCACACCCACTACACAAACACGCAAGACCGAAATAGCATCCCACCATGCGGTGCCGGCGAACGCTGTCAAGCCGGATCTCGGCATGCCGCTGACAACCGCCTTGTCAGCACCGATACCAAGTCACGATATTCTCGATCTCGCTCCAGCAAGGAGGAGGTGGGTTAATTGCGCTCGATCCATATCGCCTGATACTTTCGAGCCCAACGTAGGTGGCACGCAGCCGAGCTCGAGCGCCTGCAGCTTGCACCGCCTTGGCGCTTACAGATGCCAAAGGATTCGGCACGAAGCGTCGCCACCATCCATGCACGTGCTCGTCGGCTCGATAGGACGAACTACTGTAGTCTGGTCGGCGCGCGTTGGTACCATGCGCAGTCACGTCACCGCATGAAATTGGCAGCACGCTTCGCTTCCAACTCATCGGTAGGGGTCTCCATCAGGGTCCAAAACACAGCTTCTCTAGTGTGAGCGGCCCCAGAAGCGACGAGGCGAGGGGAAAGGCGCCATCGGGTGGTACACAAAAGCTTGCGTTTAGGCGCTTTGGCAGGCTCAGCTTGGCACGCCTCAACGACGGCGGATATCATCGTGAAGCGCGCCAAGCGTCGGGCGTCCCCCCCTGTGGCTCAAAGAGCGGAGCTCCGTCGCGCCAAGCGGCGACGAAAGAAAAATCCAGGTCTTACTTCGTGCCACACAACTCAAGCGAGGCCCAAATACACAAGCCACCCACCGTCCCAGCGGCGAGAGCCAAAAGTACGGGGAAGCTTCGCTTGGCGTGCCGAGCAGGGTTAAGAGTGTGGCCCGCAATCCACACACCCACACGTCGCGCGGGTGTCGAGGCGGGGTTGTCGGCGCCCCGTCTTCGTCTCGCATGATTCCGCTCTGCCTGTTGCGATCGTTGCAACCCCTCGCCTCGTTTCAAACACAGAGCGGTACAGCCAGGGTCCCCCGCCTGTTTCCATCCCCCACACGAATGTGAGATGCGCGCAAGGATGCACCGCCACCAGCCCACCACCAAAAATCGTACAGTGGTCCTCAACCTTTGCATGTGTGGCTGGATGCAGAGCGCTGACGCTGACCCGCAGCACGGCTGGTTGCGGGATCCATTGGATTCGTCTCGGACCCTTGTCTCACCCGTCGCCGCTGGACCCTGCACGGTCGAGGCGAGACACAAAGATTAGTTCACAACAGCTGGTCGCGGCCTTGCCGGTCATCTGCATTGGCGCCATCGGACCAGCAGGACAGTGTGCATTCGGTCCTTATCGGTCACATCCCTGTCACATCCATACCAACGCTCCTGGCGCGGCATTCCGCGTCGGATAGATTGACGTACCTCCCGATCGCCAAGGATCGGAAGTCCAGAAGGCAGAACGCCGCTCCGGCAGCCCTTCATTCTCGGGTGGGGATTCCGCGATTCTTGCAATTGACCCCGCACACTCGCAAAATTCCGCTACCCATCCTCCAACGCCCACACTCGAGGCTTGCGTGACATCCAGGCTTGGACACCCGTTCGATTGGTAGTGCAGCATTCGCGGACCCGATCATGCAGCGGACTCTCCCACCTTCGGCTCGACATTGTGTCCAGTAGCAATGTGGGTCCATTCGCCGAAGCCCTCATCTGCGTGTTCAAAGCCCGACTGAACCCCCACTCAAGGGCCGAGCCTGCAACGAAGTCGAGGCGTGGACATGCCACATCGCAAGCCACACACGCTCTTCCCGATCTGACTTGCTTCCGAAGCCTGGACTGCTCCCGATGGAACTCTGCCGGACTGCGATGAGGCGCGATCCCGGGAATGGTGGCTTGCATCTTCGCCTATGCTGGGCCAACATCCCGTGCTTGCCGCTGCTGCTCCCGTCTGCAATGCTCCCGCGAGATCTCGACCGGGCCTTTCGACGACGTCAGCTGTTTTCGACTTCCCCCGCCCTCTGCATCGAAGGCTTCTACTCCGAGGTTAGAGTTGCGACGCTGTGAGCTTATGTGCACCCGGCTATGCACCTAGATGTTGGCAACTCCCCCGCAAGGCCGTCCCGAGGCGAGTTGGAGCCCCGCCCGCGTGCGTTGCGCTGCATGGCAGCCTGGATAAACTCGGAGGCGTGACAGATCCGCTCAACCGCCAGGCCGCGTATTGGGTCGGAACCCCGGACATTTGCTGGTCAACACCACTGCGCAAAACAAGATTTGCAGCACGAGCTCTAATGCAACACTGCATGGAAGATCAAAGATGCGATGGCATTGCTCTTGACTTTGCGATCTAGAAAAGCGCGGACGAGATGGTGCGTTTCCTTACGAGTCCATCTCGCTGACGCACTCCCAAGCGCCCTTCAGGTTCTCCTTCCAGAGCGTGATCTTGCCGTCGCCACAGCTGACGGCGAGCACGTTGCCGCTGACGCTCCAGCTCACGCGCCACACGGTATCCGGGAACTTTCCGGCGCCCTGTGCTGCGGTGGGGTTGAGTGCCGTCTTTGTCCACGCGGCGTCGGGTGCGTCCTGCGTCCAGATGTGCACGGTGCGGTCCTGCGATGCGGTGGCGAGGTAGCTGCGCGGCAGACCGACGTTGGGTGCAAACGCCACATCGCGCACCCAGTCCGTATGGCCCTGCAGCGCATCCGCCTCGACGAAGCGGTTGGCCTCGTCGCTAAACTGCCAGATCTTAACCACGTTGTCGCAACCAGCAGATGCAAACCGCTTCACCAGCTTGGCGTCGCCCGACTGCGCCGAGATCAACGAGCCAGGAACCACAGCTGGCGCCCACGAGACCGCGTTGCATCCAACAGGGTGTGCCGACACCAGATCCACTGCCCACGTGCCGTCGTCTGTACAGAAGGAGTGCCGAAAGCAACAGCGTCAGCAACTACTGGCCCTACTGCTCTGAAGCGTATGAGGTGCGAGACTTACTGTTGAAGGTGAGCACCGAGACGTTGCCGTCCGAAGATGCGCACGCGAGAATGGAGCCGAGCTCATGCGGCGCCCAGGAAATCGAGTTGACTGTAAGGCAGTGAGAGAGAGAGAGAGAGTATGGTCCAAGGTCAGTACGAGGAGATGGCACCAAGTGCAGTCCAATAGCTGCTACGCACCCGAGGCAGTGTGGAGGGTATGTTCCTTGATCTTTGTCCATCCGCCAGCTGTGGAAGCGGGTGCGCCGTATGCGGACTGTGCGCCGTAAGGGCCCGACTGGGTCGGAGCTGCCGCTGCGCCGTTGTCCTTCCAGATGATCACTTTTCCGTCGTAGGAGCAGCTTGCGAGGATGTCGCCAAAGGTGGGGTGGGCCCAGGCGACCTGCCATACGGGGCCCTGGTGGCCGTGGAGCGTCTCTGCATTGATGGAGGGCGAGCCGTTGACAATGTCAAACACCTTGACGGTGCGGTCGGAGGAGCAGGTCGCGAGGCGCTTGCCGTAGAAGTCGAGCTGTGCGTCGTGCACCATGTCCTCGTGCTGCGTCTCGACGTTCTTGGGTCGCTCCGCCGAGAGCGCAAGCGCGGCGGAAGACGAGGTGAGCGTTGCCATATTGTTTCGCGCGGCGATCTGCAGTCGAGGGACGGAAGAGGCAGAGTCGGATGCAGGATGGGTGTGGATGAGGTGGCAAGGGTGGAGGAGCGATGTATCGAATCGCGAAGACGCACGAACGGCTTCCAGCACATCGCCCTCGCACCGCTGCACAGACGCCCGAGCGCGTGCCATTCACGCTCGCACTCTCTCGGCCGCAAAGCTCGAGGAATTTCGAGGTAGGATACTAGTTTTGCCGATCTTACATACTCGAGTTTTTTGGCCCGGCGAAAAACGCGGGGTTCGCCCCTCCTTCATCATGGTTACCAAATTTGGCAAGGCTCGACGCTCCTTTACTTTCACAGCTGGGCAAGCACCGGCAGCTGCGGACGCTGCTCCAGGCGTCTACTTCTAGGAACGAGCATGTTGATGATGGTTTCTCAAAGCACGTCGGCTGTGCCTCTGGCGGAACTGGCGAACGGGGCCGGCTTTTTGGCCGCTTTCCAAAGGAAGAGGTGACGCGCGGTCAAGAAAAGAAAAAGTCGCTTGGGATCGAAGCTGCCGCTGCGATTCTGCGGAGTCACCGGCTGTACATCGCAGTGACTCCGGCTATGAGCTTTTTGTCCGTCCCCCCCACTTTGAGAGCACAGTTGGACATTGAGCCCAAGCATTTGCCGAAACCGATGAACCCTGGCGAGCCCCCCCGCTCACACTGCACCTCTTTGGGGAGCCAGATGAGTATACGACTGAGCCTGCTGCCTTCTTTCGTTCTGCTCCCGCTTCTCGCACCGCTTCCTTCTGACATCGTGGATCCATTGCATCAACCATGGGTAGGCCTTCCGTCTCGTCGCAACGCAGCAATGAGAGGAGCCCGCTCCTTACCGCCCAGCCGTCATCGTCGGGCTTGGTGTCGGAAGATGCGATCCCGTCGCGCTCTTTAACGCCGACCTACACGGCGACGGCATCAACGGCTCGATCTCGCAAGCTCTCGGCCACCAACAGGAATTCCTTGGACCACGACTTTGTGCCAGAGACGGCGCGACTGCTGGATCAGTCTCTCGAAAGCCCCTCGCGGCAACATGACATCGCAGACATCGAGCAGCGCGCTTCTGAGGACGCCGAACAAATCCCTTTCCCCTCCCAAACGGATCCGGCAAAGCCACTCCGTCCCAACAACTACCGCAGAGAGAAGAACGTCTCCAAGCTCAGAGGTTTCGTCGCGCGCAACGAAGGCATCCTCCTCCTCGCGCTCGCACAGCTCTTTTTCTCCACGATGAACTTCTTCTTCAAGCTCATCAATCTGCTTCCGCCAGAAGAAAGCCCTCCCGTCACGGCGCTCGAGATCATCTTCATCCGCATGTCCATCACCTGGGTCGGCTGCGTCGCCTTCATGCTTGCCAGCGGCGTAGAAAACCCGTTCCTCGGTCCTAAGGAGGTGCGCAAACTTCTGGCGCTCCGAGGATTCGTCGGCTTTTTCGGTCTTTGTAAGCCTCTTGTCCTTTCATCTTTTAGATCGTATCTCGTACTAACGCTGCTGCTTTGTGTCGGATAGTTGGACTGTACTACTCGTTGCAGTACTTGTCACTGGCCGATGCTACCGTAATCACCTTTCTCGGGCCCCTGGCTACGGGGCTGCTTGGCTTCCTCGTTCTCGGCGAGCCCTTCACCGTGCGCGAGACGCTGGGAGGTGTCATCAGTCTCTCGGGCGTTGTGCTCATCGCTCGTCCGGCCTTCATCTTTGGCCGAAAGACGGCGGATTCCGACCTCGACGACCCTTTGGTCACCTTGGCGAATGGCACCCTGGCCGGGAACAACTCGACGCTCAAGGTCGGTGAGGCTATCGCCAAGCTTGTCAACGTGACATCAGTCGATCTCGTCCGCCGTGGCAACAGCACACTTCTGCAAGACGA